ACCAACTAATTCTCCAGCTCTCTAGACACCAATAGGGTGTCCACAATTCAGTCCTGACGCTAACTAGCCAGAGTGGGTGCAGACCCCACATGCTAAGAACTCAGTCCTGCAAGACTGTCCCACTTAAGATGCCAGTCACAGGTCTGGGACTTATGTCCTCCTGACCAACTGGCTATAAACAGGGGGCTCCCTGATGGCCTTCTCAGGTCCTGTATTTGTTCGCATGGCACACAGAACTCAAAGAAACATTCTACTTTCATTTTCTAGTTTATTTAAAATGATGTGATAAAGAATACAAATGAACAGCCGAAATGATGAAGAGGTTCCTAGGGTGAGGTCCGAAAAGTCCCTTGCACAGAAACTTCTGTCCCCATGGAGTTGGGGTGTTCTGCCTTCTCTCCACATGGATGCGCTCACCAACCTGGAAGTTCTCCAAACCTGGTAGTTTAGGGATTTTTATGAGGCTTCATCACGTAGGCATGCTTGATTATTAACTCACTTTCACCTCTCCCTTTTCCCCAGAGGATAGGGGGTTGGACTGAAAGTTTTAAACTTTTTTTTTTCCTTAAATTATTTATTTATTTATTTATTTATTTATTTATTATTTTTTAATTTGACCAGAGAGAGACAGAGGAAGAGAGAAGGAAAGTGAAAAAGCAAACTGCCAGATCCAGGACTTGAACTCTGGTGTGTCATGAGGGAATCCAGCACCTTTGGTCTTTCTGGTGATCCACCCCCACCCAGGAGCCCACCCAGAGTCACCTCCCTAGGTTTTAAAAGATCCTCTTATCATCAGGGAAATTCCAAGCCCTTAGGATCTCTGATTAGGATCTCTGTGTCAGGAACTGGGATCAAAGACCAACTGTTAGAACAAAAGATGCTCTTCATGCCCCTACTGTTCAGGAAACTGCAAGGGTTTTAAGAGCTCTGTGTCAGGAACTGGGAGCAGAAATTAAATATAGATTTCTTATTATATCGCAGATGTCTTTTAAAACTATGACAAACATTAAGTGTTAAAGGTAAACTGAATTTAGATCACTAAACAGCTGAATCCCAAAGTGAATTATTTTCAAAAGCTTTTTTCTAAAGTAACAAAGATTGTTTGGAGATGGTTAAGAATTGAGCTGTACTGGGTCATCGGAAAAGTCATTATGTATTTTCCTGTTTCTCTAGGCAAAAAATGCATCATGACTTTTCTGACCACCCGATATATCATACAAAAAGATAAATTGAAATCCTCACTCCCAATACCTGAGAATGACTCTATTTGGAAATAAGGTCATTACAGATATAATTAGTTAAATCTAGATGAGATTACAGGGTGGGCCTTTATCTAATCTTATGACTAGTGCCCATGATGCTCCATGAGACCAGCTCAGATGGGAAGCTCCAGATTGGCTTCCAAAGGCCTCCCTGAATACGCCAGGCATGTGTGCATCCATGAGCCATGATAAGGCTGGGGGTCGATCATGGATTTGAGACTCTGTGGGGGGTTCTTTTTCTTTCTCTCTCTTGTTCATGGAAGAAAGAAGTAAATAAACAAACAAAAAAATGAAGAAAAAGAAGACAATGATGAAGAGGGCCAGTATCGTGGCCTGGTGATTAAGGAAGCTGGATCCCACATGACCAACAATGCAGTTCAAGTCTTGGATCTGGGGGCTTGAAAAACACGGGTGCATGTGCACGTGTGCCTCCAATTCTGACAGGATAGAGAAATGGAGAAGGGATAGTAGGGGGTGTTTTCTCCCTCTCCTTTTCTCTCTGTCTCTGTCTGGCAAGCTCAAGCTCCTTCTGGCAAAATATTGATAGAAAACAAAAACAAGGGACCAGCAGTTAGCGTAATGGCTATGTCGCTGGACTCCCACGTAGTCGACTGCAGTTCGAGTCTCCCGGACCCAGTGGCTTAAACTCACGCCGGGTGCGTGTGCGTGCGTGCCCAAGATCCCAATAGGAGAATGGAGGAGAAGGGATTGTGGTGTGGCCACCCCCCTGGGGGGTGATTTCCTGGTTTCTGTCTCTCTGTCTCTCTCTGTCACGTGCCCTATAGCAAAAACCTCTAAAAAAAAAAAGAAAACAAAAACAAATGAAAAGAAGAAAACAGAGCCACATGGGGAAGATGACCAGGCAGAGAGGAGGGAGGGGCTGGAGTTAAGTTGCCACATGCCAAGCAACACTTGGGGTACCGGAAGCTGATGGCAGCCAGGAAGCATCCTTCACTGGAGCTATCAGACGGAGCATGGCCTGCCAGAACCTTGATTTCAGACTTCCAGTTTCCAGAACAGTGAGACGATAAATTTCTATTGTTTTAAGCCACCCAGTTTGTGCTATTTGCTGGTTCTAGCAAACTATTAATAATACAGTGATATTAAAATTTTCCCTACTATTAAAAAGAAAAACTTAAAGACGTAAGTATTTTATTTCTCTTTACCTCATCCCCCTTCTTTTTCTATTTCATAATGTAAAGGAACATGCGTGACAGTTTGTAAACAAATGTCTTAAAGACACGAGTTGAAAAATTTTAAAACCTAAGAGTATTATGCAATTAAAACGGGTTTGAAAATGGGCTGAAAATTGTGTCTGAAAATTACTTGTAGGAATAACTTGATGTTTAGGTCAATGAACTTCTTCATTTGTTCCTGTCAGGCTTTGGGGCCATATTAATCCAAGATTTCCTTAATCCAATTGCAGAATTGGAACTTCTGTTGGTCAGCTAGATCAGTCAAAGCTGACCCAGGTTGCAGGTTTATTTTTGGTCCCCACTTATTCCTGTAAAGGGAATTATTAAAGCATCAGCCCGATGAGCCTAGTGGTCTCCCAGGGCCCAGGACTCTGGTGTGTCCCCTTTGGCTCCCAAAGCCATGAATAGCACTGTCCAGCCTCCTACGACTTTTAGTGCTCACCTGGGTAAAAGAGACTCTGGGGACCAGCAGTTGACATAATGGCTATGTCGCTGGACTCCCACATAGTACACTGCTGTTCGAGTCCCGGACTTGGTGGGTTAAACTCACTCCAGGTACGTATGTGTGGCCAAGATTCAGAGAGGAGGGTGGAGAAAGGATTGCGGCATGGCCATCCCCCCTGGGGGGTGATTTCTCGCTTTCTGTCTCTCTTTCTGGGGAATGCACACCCTTGTAGCAAAAACCTCTCCAAAAAAACAAACACACAAAAAAAGAGCCTCCGAATGGATGATTCTCCTTGCTAAATTTCCATTTCTATTTTTCCCTCAACTTTGGCGGTTATTTTCCATTGTCTTTTTTTTTTTTTTTAAGAGGATTTGCTATAGGGCATGTGCACTCACCAGAAATACAGAGAGAGACAGAGAGTCAGAAAGCAAGAGATCACCCCCAGGGGGATTGGCCACGCCACAGTCCCTTCTCCTCCATTCTCCTCTTGGGATCTTGGGTACACACGCACAAGCGCGTGGCATGAGGTTAAGCCACCGGGCCTGGGACTTGAAGGGTGATCGACTACATGGGAGTCCAGCGACATAGCCATTATGCCAACTGGTGGTCACAAGAAGCCTTATTTATTTTTTAAAATTATTTTATTTAACATTATTTATCCTTTTATTTCAATTTGACCAGAGAGAGAGAAAGAGAGAGAGAGAAAGCCACCAGGACCGGGACCTGAACTGTGGCGGGCCATGTGGGAGTCCAGCACTCTTAACCACAATGCCACCTGCTGGGCCCTCAGGAAGTCTTCTTGAGGAGGAAATTGGACAGCTCTTGCAGAATAAGCAGATTAGGGTCATTAGGAAAGAGGGAGTAGAGCATTGATAACAGGGTTAGAACAGTAAGTAGTAGGACTCCAGACATAACTGAGGCTCAAGAGTAACCTCAAGACCTTATTCTTAAATATCTTTCCAGGATTTAGCTTTAGAAAAATGATCTGTGCTAAAAGAGCAATCAGTAAGAGATATGTCAGCATGGTTTAGCAGATCAGATTTGTACTCTACGGAGTTAGGAGACTTTGGTTCCCAGCTTTGTGGATTTTCCCAATTTCTCTCCCCCCTTTTTTTTTTAAGAGAAGTTTTTTCTATAGGGCATGTGCGCTCACCAGAGACAGAAAAAGAGAAATCACCCCAGGGGGGATGGCCACACCACAATCCCTTCTCTGTTCTCCTCTCCGGATTTTGGGCATGCATGCACATGTGCCTGGCTTGAGTTAAGCTGCGGCGTCTGGGACTTGAACCGCGTCTGACTGCAAAGAGCCTCAGAGTCACAAGAATATGTGAAGTCTCTGATTCCTCTTCAAGGAACGAATGTGGCAGATCTGGGGAGTTTTCATTTCAGGAGAGGGAGAGTGCCTGAGATTCTTAAGGCGTCTTGTTTCACAGTGGTTTGCTTACGCTAATGCACCAAAATCTTCAACTGGGTCATCTGTCACCTGGTCTCCAGGAAGCAGCTGAATCAAACTCACAACTCAGGTAGGTGAACTAAGGACAAAGCAGATGTACTTTAGCCACCCAGGGGTCATTTCTCAAATACATCGCCTATCAAAACAAAGAATATAACACCTCTTGTCGGGTAGAAAGATTTCGTGCCCAGTCGTCTCTTTGGCAGGGACGTGGGTATTTCCTTAGAAGTCAAAAGTTCTCTTTTCAAGTGCCAGGTAGCTCTCCAATTCGCCTCTGGCAATAGGGTTGGGTTCAGATTCAACCAGTTTTTCAAGCAGCTTCTCCTTTATCCTCCTCTCCGACTCTGTGCTTGCAGTAACGTCGGAAATCTCGCAGGTGCCTTGGCACAGCGCGGGAGAGGGAGCCCACACCAGGGAACAGCAGCCCGCGGTCGGTACACTGAGGTTGTGGCTTTGGAAAGACCAAGCGCAGAGGGGGCGGTGCTACGGGAAGCCCAGCCCCTGGCGCGGGCGGTGCATTCTGGGAGTTGTAGTCCCTTCTGGGCGACGCCCTCTGTCTCCAACGCGCTCCGCACTACATCTCCCAGCCGCCCCTGCGCCGCGGAGGCGGTGCCCGAGGGGGCGCTCGGTGATGAGCTGCGGCCGGGGGAGGGGGCTGGGGCAGAGAAGCCGCGGCCGCCGCGGGGCTGAGGCGTTGACATCTGGCGTCTCTGGGGGCCTTGGGACCCTCGAGCGGGCTGCGACCAAGGCCGTGTGGCCGCCGCGTGTCCTTGTGTCGGCCTCTCTCCTCTTCATAGACTCGCAGCGTTCCCCATGGACTCGCATCCGGCGGCGGGGGTCTCCGGGCGCCGTGGCCCCGGCTCCCCGGAGCGATGAGAGGATAGGGTCGCCCGCGGCCGTCTGCCTCCCGCGTTTCGTCCGCCCCGGCGAGGAGAGCCCGGGAGGGCCGCCCGTCCGCCGCAGTCCGCGCCCGCCGCCCCGAGCCGACCACCTTCGTCCGCTCAAGATGTGGCACAACGTCGGGCTGACCCTGCTGGTGTTCGTGGCCACGCTGCTGATCGTGCTGCTGCTGATGGTGTGCGGTGAGTGGGGGCGGCCGCCCGGGAGGGGGGCGGTCCACGCCGCAGCTCGACCCAGGTTGTTCACTTGGTTGTTGATGCCTTTTTAAATGGAACTTTATTCATTTATTTTAATTTGACCAAAGAGGGACAGAGCAATAGAGAGGGAAAGTGAGAAACCAAGCCGCCAGGTCCGGCACTCGAACCCTGGTCAACCATGTGGGAGTCCAGCGCCCTTGCCCACCACGCCACCGGCCTGCCCTGTTTCTTTTATTTTTTTTTAAAGACGGGGGAAAGGCGAGATCATTACGTTCCCTAAACGCCTCTGTTGTTCCCTAACCTCTCAGGAATGAGCTTAGGGCAGATGTGCCCCTGACCCAGGGCGGGCCTGCGGGCATCCCCAGGAGAGGCCAAGGACAGGATCCGGGGCTGGGCATCTTGGCCTGGGCTAAACCAGATACTGCTTCAGGGCAGCCTCTGCTCGGGGTTGCCATTCTTACCACAGTCTGCCCGGGTTTTAACCTTGGCCTGGATTCGAAGGTGAAGTGATTGCTTACTCCTTTTGCTTTTGTGCGGCTCTGACCCCAGTGATAATTAGAGGGCTCCCTACCTTCATTTAATCAGGGATTGGGACAGAGCTGGGTTTTCAGCCCACGTGAAATTGTTTGTTTACTTAGAGTTCCAGCTGACACTCATTTCCAAGCAGAGATGTTGAGACTAGGCAGCACTGAGAAACAGCTATGTGAAACTTGGAGGGTCAGGTAACCTAACCCTTAGTTCCCTGATAATGGTGCTATTTTGTTTGCTGTGGATATTTTCCTTGTGCAATTTTAGGTCTTTCTGATTTCTTTTATACACAGTAACTGATAACTGCAGGTCTCTTAGCAAAGTGGCTGAGCAATTGTGAAAATTAAGTATTTAAAACAGATGTCAGTGAGTGTATTCATATTTACAAGACGAGGTATGGATTCATGTCGATGCAAGAATTGGGCAGAATTCATAATAAATACTAGAGGGCTTATTCATTGCGTGATTAATATACTCATTAGTGCTCACTATTGAAGCTGCTGTGGGTAAAGAACATGTGTGTGCTTGTGTGTATGCATATATATGTATTTATATACTTTATGAATATTTAAATTCTCTTGTTTGCTATGATACCAGAGTTAAATCTAACAGAAAGCCTTTCTTTTTTGATGAGAAAACAGTTGAAAAACCCCTCTCTATTTTTTTTGCTCAGGATGTCAACATTTTGGACGAATTGTAGATGTCTCAGTTCTTGAAGTAAGGAAAACCAGACCTTGTGATTTGCTTGGATGTGGGGAAGGAGTAAAGTATGTTTCCTTTCTAATCTGAACATGCAAGCTACCTGAACATGGGAGTGGACATACAGATCATACCACTCGTGGATAGAATATTTGCCAAACTTACCTTTGGGGCATCAGAATTCTTAATGGCTCTCGTCTCTCAATAGCTAGTTGACTGTAATTTTGCTCACTATTCTACAAGTGCCCTGCCTTACTTTCAGAAAACATGATGACATAAGAGAGATGAGATATCCTAGGTAAAAGAACACCTTGTTTTGATTGGAATGGGCAAGAACTGATAGTTCTATGAGGAAGTAATCCAAACATTTTTGTTGGGAGAGCCAATGAGGAGTAGCCTCGTGTTTTGACTAGGCTGGGGCTGAGTCTTGAGAAGGAAGGATCAGACGAGATATGAGAGAGCAACGAGGGCGCCATATTACTGGCTTGTTGGAAAAGTCATAACACATTTTTGCATAGAAAAAAACAGAAAATACATCATGACTTCCCACAACCCAATAGTTTGCTAGCACTGCTATATGTAATAAAATACGATGGACAGGATGGCTTGAAAAACAGAAATTTGTTTTCTCACAGTTCCGAGGTTTGAAGTCTGAGATCAAGGTGTCAGCAGGGCTGATTTTCTTTTAAGACGTCTCCCTTTGGCTTGTGAATTGCAGTTGTCTTTCTGTGGTTTTTCCTCTGTGTCTGTGTCCTAATCTCTTATAAGGACACTCCAATCTAATGACTCATTTAAACTTACTTTTCTCTTTATGGACTTATCTCCAAATACTTGTCTGGAGTCACTTTGGGAGTTAGGAGTTTAACATAGGTGTGATAAGACTTTTGGAGGGGAGTGGGCACAAAATCAGTCCATAAAAATGTATCTTTGGTATTGGCCAAAAGATAAGAAAATAGTTTGATAATTTAGGCATATGTCTTTAAAATAGCTGTTCTTACCTTCTGGTTGTCATAAGCTCTTTTGAGAATCTGATGAATGCTATGAAACCTTCTTTTAGAAAAATACACCAACAGTTTTTTGTTTTCTATTTTAGAGATTTCATGCTTTCATCTTTCTTAAACATGGAGTTCAAATTAAGACCCTCTGCTTATGAACTGGGTCTCCTGTTTTCTGATTTCATTGAGTTCAGCATTGAGGTTGAGTACCTAATAGGACACTGGGCATCAAGCCTGTGACAGGGGTCTGTCCCAAGGGATTCATAGCTTAGTTTGTTTTAGAACTCTGATATGTTTTTTCACATTTTGAATTCTGATTTTAAAAGTTTAGGTTTTTCAGGGAGATTTTACTTCTGTTTGTATTAATTGTTTCTGCTTTCTCACCTCCAATTTATTCTAAAAGGTTTTCTATCAATCACTGAAGTGACCTTTTTAAGGTCAAGGTCAGAGTCAAAAACAAATGGCCACCATATTACCAAGTAAGTAGTCACTTAACAGTCCTAATTGATTTTCATCTATCACACCTCATTCTACACAATGCAGCATTCTCTCCGAGACACATTTCTTTTGACTTTTGTACACTGTACTTTCTGAATGTTCTTTTCTTTGTTTTTCTTTTTCTATTTCTCTGAATGTTGTTTTCTACCATGGTGGCTAATATTTAGGTAGTCAGGGAAGTAATGATGTATTTTTCTATTTTTCTGTGCAAAAATGTGTCATGACTTTCTATACAACCCAATATATATCTTTTAGACTTCTCATCCACTGGAATTTCCTAATTTTTTTGACTACAACCTACAATAAGAAATATATAATTTCCAATACATTCATAAGTATATACATTACATGTGTCTATCAGTTTATATATACATCTATCTACTTAACATCTGTCTGTCTCAGAAATAAAGTTAATGGGGGCTGGCAGGTGGCATGGTGATTAAGAGCACTCTGGACTGCCATGTGGCTGACTAAGGTTTGAGTCCTGGACCTGACCGTTTGCTTTCTTACTTTCTCTCGCTCTCACTCTGCCACTCTCTAGTCAAATTAAAAATGAATACATAAAGTTAAATAAAATAATTCTTTTTTTTTTTGAGAGTTTTTTTTGCTATAGAGCGTGTGTGCTCGCTGGAAAGACAGACAGAGAGACAGAAAGTGAGAAATCACCCCCCGGGGGGATGGCCACACTGCAATCACTTTTTCATTCTCCTCTCGGTATCTTAGGCATGCACGCACATGTACCTGGTGTGAGTTTAAGCCTCTGGTACTTGAACCGTGGTCAACTACATGGGAGTCCAGAGACATAGCCATTATGCCAATGACTGATCCCAGTAAAATAATTCTTAGAAAAAAAGTTTATGGACTAGTACTTCCCCTTATTCCATGAGATCCATTTAATTTTTAATCTCTTCTATTGTATTTCTATAATACAAGACATATATAGGCATGTGTCAATAATTGGGATACATTTTGAGAAATGTGCCATTAGGCGATTAATCATTGTGTGAGCATCATAGACTGTACTTCACAAACCTAGATGGAATGGTCTACCACGGCCCTAGGCTATCGGGTATACCCTGTCACCTCACTTTTGCATATGTGATCCATGGTTGACTGAAATGTCATTATGCAGTGTCATGACTGTATATTTTCATTTTCTTCTAACTGTTCTTCCCTTTTGTTTTCTTAGTCAGCGCTAGAGAATGTAATACCAAATGTGCCAAATGACTAGCCAAGTGACTGTAAAGTTGATATCTCCAACACTTACTTCTCTCTTGAGCCCCGGCTCATGCACTGAACATTTTATTTTTTTTTGATATCCCTACTTGGAGACCAAATAATCATTTCAACTTTAATAAATCTGAAAAATAAGAACTCTTGACTTCTATATCCCCTGTTGCTCCCTCCAGTCATACCTATCTGAAGTATTACCTGCTTCTACTCAGTGATTCTAGCCCAGAACTTAGGTATCATTTTGATTTTGCTCTTTCCTCTTCCCCACAACTCAGTCCCCTTAAGCACATCAATTCCGAAAGCGGCTCTCCTCTGTCTGATCTCTTTTAAAAGACTGAAATACATTCTTTTCAGAATGGCCACCATTGCCACCACCATCACAACCACCATCATCATCATCTTTGGCTTGCCTTAGTTCTCTAACTAGAATTTCTTCCAACCCACTTTATATTTATAATCCATTTTTCACATACTAGTCAGACTGTTAATAAAGAAAATATTTTATCAAAAGAAAATATTTTATCAAAAGTTTTTAACACGGGCTCTCCCTGTAGTGCATCGGTTAAGTGCAGTTCAGGAGAAGACAGATCTTACATGGCTGACTGCAGTTCGTGCAACATGCCACATATGTGTGCGTATGTGCTCAGGATGCTGATGAAATGGAGAAATGGAAGAGGGATTGCTTCGTGGATAGGTCCTGTTTGCTCTTTCTCTCTGATATTAAGAAAAAATATTTTTTTTAAGTTTTAGTTTTTATTATAGGGTGAGTGTACTAGCCAGAGAGAGAGAAAGAGTGAAGGACAGAAATCATTACGCAGTGGGATGGCCACACTGTAGTCCCTTTTTCTCTGTGCTCCTCTCAGGATTTTGGGCATGCACACGCGCACCTCGTGTGATTTTCAAGCTCTTGGGCCTAGGATGCAAACTACTCATCCAGCCATGCGGTACCCAGCGCCTTAACCTCCACACAACTTGCTGTCCCCTAAGAAAAGTTTTTAATGGAAGAAATATAGTTTAAAAAGTCAGTAGTTC